CATTCGAAGTTCATAGGGGAACATCATATCCACAGCCTACTGGGCTTACAGGCCGGGGGAGTTCTTCATGTAAACTTAGAAAGCAGAACGTAACCTTTGCCACAAAACACAAGCTATTATATATGTTCAGTTATGTTCGGCAAAATACGCGAGTAGTCTCTAGCGTCTGGCTATTTCAGTCTACGCCGCTAGTATGACTTGTGGAATATGTCTTCGAGTCCCTTGTTACAAATGGCACTGAAACGCATTCTGCTACACGATTCTTGTACCGATGATAACATGTTTGTTTTCTCTTAATTATTGAATCCGAAGCCCATCTTTTCTCGATAAGATCATAACAATCATGTTGATTTAAATTGACAAATAATTCGTGTTTTCAATGTCGAAGACTGTGGATGATATTGAGTTAAACACCTAGCTACTTTAAATGGCGTGGTAGCATTGAAAATCTTGACCCGCAGCTACAGCCTGATTTTAAGTCGACTTTGATAATTGTCCGAGGAAAGAGAGAACCTCCCCACCTGGATTTTTGATGTCGATTGTACGTAAGTGACCAGTAAGGACAACATAAAGAGACATAAGTCGTGATGGAAACCATGCCTCCAGTCAACCTCCTAATCTTACCGAACAAAGTGAGAAGAGAGGCCTTTAATTCGTATTCAAGCAAGCACCTGTACTCCTCGCTAACAATAAACATGTGACAATTGTTATTTTGGGGGTAATTCAATAAGTCAATATTGTAAGGGGACCGATTTGGTCGTTATACGCGGTAACGTGACCAGAACAACTTCCTTTGGGTGATAAACGTGAGGTATTGGATAACAATTCAATGATTTTACTTTGAAAAAATGTAGAAAATATAGAACAGTAAAATAAATGTTATAGATACTATAGGGTATTGTATAGATTCTTGAGTAGCATTTTACATCATATAGAGCATATACAGATTATTGAGTAGCAATCTATATAATTTATTTAACACAAGCTATAGAGTGTATATAGATTATTGAGTAATATTCAATATAATTTATTTAACACAAGCTATAGAGTGTATATAGATTATTGAGTAATATTGTATATAATTTATTTAACACAAACTATAGAGGGCATATACAGATTATTGAGTAGTATTCTACATAATAATAGAATGTATATAGATTCTTGAGTAATATTCTATATAATTTATTTAACACAAACTAGATGGTGTATATAGATTATTGAGTAGCATTTTACATCATATAGGGCTTTGATAATAATACCTCTATGAGCATTGAAACATGTTAGTTCGGCGTGTTTTACTCTTTCCCTAACCGTTTGGTTCCTCGGTTGTACTTGAAAAGGAATAGGGTCGCCTGTATAACCTCGTGGATTTTCTTCGGGTCCTCCACCGGTTTCCTCCCACTGCAAAAGATCCCTACGCGCAGGCGAATTATTGAAATAAAATTGAACCATATGTTAGTCCCGAAATAACCTAGTTTGCGTCGAGTGGATGTTACCCCCCCCCCCCTCTCTCTCTCTCTCTCTCTCACTCACACACACACACACACACCCACACACCCTGAGAAATCAAACACCAACATATGACGAAATTACATAATTTTTATCTTGTCTGGCAGGACCTCAATCTGATTATAATACAGATCTATATTTCGTTTCGTTTTTTTTTATACTTTCGATGGCCTACACTACATGAAGATCTCTAATTTTATATTAAGGCTAATCAAATTCCTAGTATTGTTAACGGTCGTTGTTGAAACGACAAACAACCGCTCATCTCAAAGAAACGTCGACAACAGATAATCTAAAATTCTGCATACAGGCTAATTTGAACCCGGCATTACACACCCATATACCTGTTTAGTCAAACAATGATTTTACTAAACGACCAATACCTTGAAAGCGTTAACGCCTGTTTGAATAGTTGCTAAAACACAAAACAACTATTCAAAAACATATTAAAACCGAGAAGAAGAAAATCACAGGGAACTCGTTTTAATGTCCTCTTTACTAAGACTAAACAAAAATTCTAACAAGGAAGTTCCCGAAATGCTAACCCAAACTCTGTTTAGGTTACGCACTTCTTTTTGTACAAAATATATATTCACCAAAATGACGTCAATAGTTTACTTCTCAACAAAAAGTGTGACGTTTTTCACAATAAATCTTTTTTTTCTAAATACAAGACAACATTAATTATATTAGATAAAACGATTGTTAAATAAAATGTCGTCGCTGCGTTAAGATAACTTCACATTATGAGAGGGTTGGCTCGCTAACCTTGCGGTCCCGTGTTCGATCCCGGCGTTGGCAGAGTAAGTTCATCGGGGGTTTCCGACGTGGTTTTCTCTTGTCAGTGGAGTAGGGGGGGGGGGGCTGACAAGGGACAGCAATGGACAGCATATTGTCAAAAACTCTTGACAGTTGGAATTAGAAATACGAGTAGGTCGTAGCGCCGCTGCCTGGGCAAAATTTCACCCATAGCACACTACATGGCGTATGTCTGTCTTCAATATCCATGTCGGTTTAGAAAAGCAATCCTTTAAACCCCATTTCATTTCATTTCACCTGCTGAGTGTAAACATTGACCCCAGTGACATCCACACGGGTAATTTTGTAAAAAAAGCTAAAAATAAATTTAAAAAGTAAAAACGTCAAATTGTGCTTCTCCCACACGTATGTTAGGTTTCTAAAATTGACGGATAGCTTAAGGTGTTAAAATAAACACACAACAATCTTAACTTGTTGATTCTAGTTGAACAAAAACGAAATTTTCTGCTTGGACTAGAATACTTGATTGACTTTCTGTTTCAAGTGTTTAGATAATTAGCAGTTTGTTTATGTGTGAAAAGTTACACCCTAATCGGATATCTAGGTTCAAATATATGGGAGATTCGATAACGAGTTGGCAGTTCTCACTATAATAGTTAAAAACTACATAATGTAAAGGCAATTTGCTGAAAATTTCATTTAAATTGATCCACTTAAAATTCCGTCTAGCCTCGATCATCATTACTAAAGTCAGTACGATAAACAGCATAGCCTCGATTATCCACTTAATCGTTAAATCGTGAAGGAAAGTTATGCAGTAAATCAGCTCATAAACCACTAAAGATCACAGGCTAGCGATGCCATCTAGAGTGGATTATGGTCTGGATAGGTTAATTAATGTCTAATTAATAATTTATATAACATTTCAGGCCTAAAGAAAGACCTGCAATAGACAGATTTAGCTCTTGCATAATGTATGTTTAAACAAACATTCTTTGGGCCTTACATGTTATATAAATTATTAATTAGACATTTATTAAGACAATAATCAACCCTCGATGCCATCGGATGCCTCCGACTTTAAGTAGATTAGAACGGTTCGGTCATTTAATTATTTCATTTAAAAATGGTGAAGCGAGGTTAAGACTCGAATGACCAGTACGGTCGTTACGATCAATGCACACATCTTGCCAAGACTAAAACTACTGATAACTTTATTCAAAAAAAAGTAATTTGAATGAAATTTTCAATATATTCAGTTTGCATTATCTTTTTTTGAAATAGTGTAGTAAGAACGGTGAGCTCTTTAAAGGTGGTTAACGTCTTACCGTTATGCACCAACCGGGATAAAATAGACGGGCATGCGTCATGTATGGTGTGCTATGAGGGACTCTTTTTTCTATATCCAAGCCAGGAGATCTTTAGCGTGCTGTGAATAGTATACGTGGGACCTCAGTTTATCGCGGACTCCGTACGACTAGAAGCCTCTCCTTGCCAGGCCCCGCCGTTCTGCATCACTGACAAGACATTTTCCGACCAACTCCGGTATCGAACCTTTGACGCATGGTTTAGTAAACCAAAGCCTGAGTTATTGTAAGATTAGAAAATATGCACCGTTGAACCCATTACGAATCTTTGAAATTGTATACAGGATCGGTCGCAGCATTTCCATTGCTTCTTTCTTGTGTTCTGTGATGTTTTTATTTTTCTTTTTTTTTCCTTTTTTTCTGTTTTATAGAAATAAGGACAGGTGCGCTAACTATGTATTTAATACACTTACATCTTTTTACACGGTTTTATGTTTTGGCGCCCTATTTACTACTAAGTCACAGCTTTAAGAAACCCAACTGGACCCCGTACAGTTTAAACAATTATAAAAAAAACATTCACATGCGAAACATCCAAATCCACCTGAAACATACACGAATAGTTATATGATTTTAAATTCCTTTGTCTAGTTAGTACACATATATAAGAGTAAATCATTATCCTCTGCATGTGGGATATTTTATATCGTGTTCATCGCACCACAAATTCTTAATAAGGTCAATGTTTTGCCCTGCACTAAGATTGGTGGGAATGTAATCCATCTATTTATAGAAATTTCTCTTTCCCAGCATTTGCATGACAATTTTTGATGACATTTTGGTATAGAATCGAATAAAAGCGTTTGAATTTATGCCAGGTTTTGATTTTGAGCCCAGGAAGGAAACTGACATGATTTCGGGAAATCACCTATGACGTCGCATCGTATATATAGATTATAATCCTTTAGAGGCATTTAAAAACTGAATTGGGCATAATTCCTTTGATAAGAGGAAATCAAGACGAAAATGACGTCACGTCGTCTAGATTCCTTTGATTACACCAAGATCAAAAGAAAATCAGCCCTACCCACCCCACCCTTTCTATATTTTGTATGCCCCCATCTTCATACACACCGATGGAACAGAAAAGTAGGACATTAGAACCGATTTTATTCCATTTCGTTTCCCAGTTCTGTTTTTAGTCTTCCAAGGTCCCGTGTATATATTGGAATGCACGTAAAAGATCCCCTGGCAGTTGGAATTCGATATAAGAGTAGGCGATAGTGCCGCTGCCCGGGCAAAATTTCCCTCATAGCACACTGTATGGCGTATGCCCGTCTTCATTAGCCCAGTATAGGAGCAGAACAGTAGGACGTTAAACCCTATTTCATTTCATTTAAATGTTGTGGTTGTTTTATATTTCAGGACTTCATTCGATAACGATCGATCAGCAATACGTGGACGATGTTGCTGCAGGTCTTCACATATACTGGAGGGTCGTTACCAACACTAAAAGCATGGCATCCAATGACATTGAACTGACCATGACCAACAATGCAACCAATGTGCTTAATAACGGTAGTAACTGGGGAATATATTTTGACACTCCAATGATGGTAGAACCAGGAATTCTGCCAGAAAAGGAGGCCATCTTGAAAGATCAGGGAATAAAATTGAAGCACTGGAAAGGAACGCATTATGTGATATCCCCCACTACGGATTTCATAGACTTGAAGCCCGGATCACTACGAAAAATAAAATTTCGATTAGCGGCTTGGACGGTATCTCGAACGGATTCCTTCCCGAATTGGTATATTAGTATAGAGGGTTTCACACCTAGAGTCATTGCCAATACTGTAGGAGAATCGTTAGATTATGTGGTAGATTTTACTTCACCTAACCAATGGAAAAGAGCCACTACAGATACGTACAACCCGTTTTCACCACAGCAGCGATATATGAGGTAAACTATGCAGAATTATTTTGTTTTTTTCATACTGGTGTAAAATGATAATTAATTCTGCGTTAGATTCATGTTGTGTTCGTTCACCTTAATTATCAATGGAACGGACTTTAAAGTCCCGTCCACACAACATACATATCGCCTACTCATCATCGAATTCGGGGGTTGCGTGGCCGAATGGTTAACGCGTGCGTGTGAAACCATAAGGTCTGTCATAAAGTCGAGTGGTTTGGTGTCGATTCCCCGCTTACACGTGACAAGGAGCAGGATCGCCTGTTCAACCTCGTGGGTCTTCTCCGGGGTCTCCCATTTTCGCCCATTATTGAAATAAAATTGAAGCATATGTTAATTCCGAAATGACCTAGTTTGTGTCGCGTGGATTATAAACTTGATTTAAACCGTGGTAAAAAAATATGCATATATAATTGTTAAATGATATCAACATTTTAATTTACCTGTTCGAGAAACAGATGATTGCTCGGTGTCATGGAGAAGATCAGCTGCTGCAGTTACCTCCCTTTTCATAAATTGGTCTTTACTATTTTATCGTGCCGACATTTCACTTTTCATTTCAATGATCATTGCTTGAGTCGCCAATAGCTACCATGTACAATGCAGTACGCACTGGTGGAAGTTTGGCCGTATGCCACCATGCATTGTGCACTGGGGAAAGATTACCAGTATGCCACCACGCATTGTGCACTGGGGGAAGTTTGGCCGTATGCCACCATGCATTGTGCACTGGGGAAAGATTAGCAGTATGCCACCACGCATTGTGCACTGGGGGAAGTTTGGCCGTATGCCACCATGCATTGTGCACTGGGGAAAGATTAGCAGTATGCCACCACGCATTGTGCACTGGGGGAAGTTTGCCCGGAATGAAGTTGCAGCTTACTCTTTATCGAACCTCAGCTGCCAATTAAAGTCTTCTTTTACATCTACGGCAACGGCTACGCGGTTGGACGTCGGTCTTCCGTTCCATCCGATCGAGTAGACGCTTTACCTGGAAACCAGACTGAAAAATGCTATGGAACTTTCGGAACCAACATCGGGGTCGAATCCGGGACATCTACCATGGAGAGTAAGCCAGTCCCAAACAATGTGTGCCTCCTGCAATACCAAAAATGCAAATACTGCACAGCAGATCCAATGATATTTAGCAATAACAATGTTTACTATTTTTCATCTATTACAGATATATGAAGCCACAGAGTACCGCCACCCATCCTCGTATTATCCCTAAACCACTCTATATAGATATATCATCGTCAACCAAACTGAATGTAGATTTAACATGGCAGATCTTTTCCACGCAACAACTCACGAAACAAGCCCAATATCTTAACGGTTGGTGTTATTCATTTGTTTCCTATAAAATAAGGTGGTTGGGTGGCTTAGTGGATTAACCTCATAGGTTTTCGTTTGGTCCTCCAGTTTCCTCCCACTGTTAAAGACTCCTACACGCAAGCGAATAAACATAAACATTGAACCACATGTTAGTCCCAAAATGACCTAGTTAATATCGCCTACGATCAGATAGATGAACTCGTGTCACCCGAGATAAGGTTAAAATTGTATGCAACCAGTCACAGTCGGTCAAAAACTGTTGTTCCGATCAACAAGTTTTTCTTTAGCCCAACTTTATATTTTCCAATAAATTGTGTTCTCGGCTATGTGACCCAAAAAATAGCATTGAGTTAAACCGAATATAACTTGTAGTTGTCAAGGCGACGTAAGCATTGCTATATGTGTTTCTTTCCCGATCCATAACTGCGAAAATATATGACCAAATATTGCGTTGTGAACTTAATAGAGATAAACTGCTAAATCTATTTGTTAAGGCCAGCTCAATTTTCGTCAATAAGGTTAGGGCACGTGATTGTTGGCGAAATTTTAGGTTAGGTTTAAGAATTTTGTGGAGATGTTAAGTCTCCACATAAGCACTGACCTACGATGATGAACATTTAGTTCGCGATATTTCCTGGTATATTTGGTGGATGTAAAGATGTCAATTAGTGTTTTAACATATAATTGCATATACTTTCAGAGAAAATGGGTTTACCAATAGCTACATCAGCGCCCACTGAAAAAGTCATTGAGCTAAACATCGGTGACGTCATTCATCCTACAACCCGACAACGTTTAACTAATACAGAAGCCTATCGCTTCCATGTAGATTCCACCAGTAAACGAATTGTGATAACAGGTACAACGGAGGCGGGTGTATTCTACGGAATTCAAACATTGCTCGCATTATTTGACACAAATAATGACGTATTCGTAACCACCGTGGTGGACCAGCCTCGATTTGAATATCGCGGTATGCACCTTGACGTTGCCAGAAACTTCCATTCTAAAGCATCCGTACTGCAACTTCTAGATGCCATGGCAACGTATAAGTTAAATAAATTACATTTTCATTTATCTGATGATGAAGGATGGAGACTAGAAATACCTGGATTACCAGAACTTACACAGGTAAATTTAGACAACTCTCGGTAAATATTCCTCGAAAATTAAATTGATATTAAAATGGGATTCAACGTCGCACTTTTCTGCACAAACTGTACAATGTGCTCTGGCACAAATATTGCCCGTCAAATGTTGTTCTACGTGCAAGCCGACAAGTGCATGGGCATAACTCGGTTTTTCGTCCCATTCAAACGACATGGGTTCTTTTCCGTACACACCAACATCCCATCCAAACGATAAGGTACCTTTCGTAGCCCGGATATGATACAAAACGAGGTCCCTTTATGGATCGGCAGTGCAGATAAAATAGCCCTTGGTACCTGGAATTCCAGCAAAATCCTTCGTCACACATTGCACCCGTAGTCAGTTAAAATGGATGCACGTGACGTTCCTTTGAAAATGAAAGAAAAAAGAAATCAAGTTTAACTTGACAATATAATAATAATTTTAATTTTGAGATTTGAATGTTGTTATTTTTTCTGTCGTCACAGCTAGAAATGAATCCCAAATGTGCCCGCCCGAGTTTACAAGGCTGGATCACCGTGTTTTGTACAATCTGAACGAATGATCATGCAAGAGTTTCTATTTCAGCTCCACGAGGGGCATCCCATACTAAGCTTTCACTGTCTGTCTACATCTAGCTCCGATTGAGAACAGACACTAAACTACTTGACTGACATTTTACTTCCTAAATCGACAATTTTAGACGAAACCACGTTCTATACTTCGCGAATTTTGAGAAGTATTTATTTAGTTTCCATTTAATAAAATAGATTTTTTTTAGTCTTTGTGTGTATGACAGATGTGGAAAGGAGTAGAATCGCATTACAAAATAGTATATTAAATTAGATATGGTGGCTATTCATGACAGAGATCTGTTCTCGAAGTAGATAGTTCTCTGTGTGCTAAATGGGGCCGTTCCTGACAATTGCTAACCCGGCTGAAATATACCGGATGTAAAGTATCGAAACATCGTCTTATATTATTATTAATATGGCGCAAAGGCAACTGAAACTGTTAGCTAAATTGTTTTCTTTTTAAATTTCCATTTAGATTGGTGCTACTCGATGTTTTGAACCAACGTGCCTTCTTCCACAATTGGGTTCCGGTCCAACAAACTCTACTTCCGGTTCAGGTCATTATACTGTAACAGACTATCAGGAGATTTTGACATATGCTGCTGATCGACATATACACGTTATACCAGAATTTGATATGCCGGGTCACGCTCGGGCAGCCATTAAAGCTATGGAAGACAGATATAGCAAATTAAAAATGCAAGGGAACATGGCAGAAGCAGAAGAATATATTCTAACAGACCTCAATGACACCTCTAAATACTGGTCTGTGCAGAACTTTGATGACAATGCCGTGAATCCTTGCCTCAATACAACGTATGCCTTCCTGTCACATGTCTTAGATGAGGTGAAGAAATTACACGCGAATATCCAGCCCCTAACATTGTATCATTATGGTGGTGATGAAGTCGGTAATGGTGCCTGGGTTAATTCAACTAAATGTAGAGAAATTAGCTTGAGTAAAGACGTGTCTTCAGATGACATCAAAGAATTATTCTTTCGCCGTGTGGTTAATTTAACTGGTAAAGATGAATCTTTTCTTTTTTTTACATTTTAAAATATCAAAATTAAAATTAACGAATTATATATCTAATATTATCGTCACCAAGCCCTTACTTGTATGCATATGCATGAGCCGACGGTCATTGAACTTGCTTTTGCCCAACTCAGATTCCAATCGCGTGATGCTGTGTAATTGAAAGTTGTATTAATATTCTGTCTTGTTGACATACTATAGCAACCCAATCCAAGATATGGATTCAGGGACTGACTTGGGGTCGAAGGCTCCCGAGTCTGGCCCCTTGAAGGGCCCTCACTCTAAGGTTGATCGGGGGGTTACATGGGTTGAGTACATTTTCAGTATAACTGTATTTGGTACATTCTAGAGTATGTCCTGAGACCAAAAGTCTCCAAAGTAAGTAAGAACATTAACGTCTTTAAGGGCTCTGTCGTCTGAGCCTACCTTACTCGCAGACTCCTTCTTAATCCTCGTCTTCATCAGCCATTATCCCAGTTGGAGCAGAACATTAGGACGTTAAACCCCATTTCATGTCCTTCTCACTCCATCCCTGCATGGGTTATGTGTGTTATATTTTAAGGCGGTGGGGTATGTGTTTCAATACGCGATTGCGCCTTTGACCTACGCACACCGTCCGGCATGAAGGCTAATGTTATTATAGTACTGCTGGTGGATTTAGTACACGAGACAGGTTATGCCTACCCCTGATTATAACTAAAGAGAGAGAGAGAGAAATGGGGTTTAACGTCCACTCGACACAAACTAGATCATTTCGGGACTAACTTATGGTTTAATTTTATTTCAATAATTCGCTTGCGCATAGGGGTCTTTAGCAGTGGGAGGAAACCGGAGGACCCGGAGAAGATTATAACTAAATATGTAAATAAACTCAAAATGTAAATAAGTCCCAAAAAATGTGATGTGAACACCTCAAATTGCATGGGATGCCATAGAGAGTGTGTGTATAAACTGCACGATACCCGTCACCGTTTATAGCTTTTTTTTCAAAATAAAAAGACATGTTTTTAATTACAGGCGAAAAAGATCTCCATTTAGGAGCCTGGGAAGATGGTGTCATGAAGGGCGAGGATCCATTTAATTTTACTGGACCACATAAAGATATGTACGCCTATTCCTGGAATAATATATGGGAATGGGGTGGGGCTGGACACGCCCATAGGTTGGCTAATGCTGGCTATAAGGTGAGATTATGATAACATTGGTTTAGTTGTTATTGTGCAATAGACATTTCCTGAGATTTTACATTAGAGAGAGAGAGAGAGAGAGAGAGAGATGGAGTTTAACGTCCACTCGACACAAACTAGGTCATTTCGGAACTAACGTATGGTTTAATTTTATTTCAATAATTCGCTTGCGCGTAGGGGTCTTTAGTAGTGGGAGGAAACCGGAGGACCCGGAGAAAACCCACGAGGTTGGACAGGCCACCCTACTCCTTGTCACGTTCAGCCGGGGATTCGAAACCACGCCAGTTGACTCAATGACAGGCCGTATGATACAGCACGCACGTACTGCTAACCATTCTGCCATCCAACCCCCCTTTTTACATTAGAACCCGCGACACTAATGCGTCTTGGGTCCTAATGATCTCATCGCATGTCTATTGCACAATAACACACCTCTAAATGCGAAACAGGAAGTGTTTATCTTCTAAATATTCATTAATTTATTATCAATGAAGCCATGGAAACAAAAATTCTTCTTTACGTGTAGTTATGAACTTGATAAAAACTTTGGCTAAAACTCGGCGAATTTAGTTAATGATAACCAATGACGTATATATTGTAACGGTTCTTGGTTCAGTGTCACCTCAAGCATGGACCTTATAATACATTATAAAGTCCATGCCTGAAGTAGTTTCGTCCTTTTTCAATGACGATCGCGGCAATTTGCCGACACTGCAGGACTGTGAAATTTACTTTTATTTAACCTTAAAACTCAGTGGTTAGTTGCCGCCTTAGTGAGTTTAGTAGATAGACTGTTTGTTTGCTCTAAATACGAAGAAAAAATTTGAGTCTGGAAAATAACCGAAACAAACCTGGTATTCGTAGTCTTCATTTTCCAGACACTTTTTCTTTTTGTATTCGTGTAAATAATTTACACCGTATTTGAAATAATTGTATTTCTTTATCTATTTATTTTTTGGCATTTTGATTTTGTTGTTAATGGATCTTCTATGTTGTATTTACTAGTCCAATCTGCACCAACTTAACTTTCATATTACCATCAAATAACTCCATGTAGTATACATGCCATTATAAACAGACTGATGTCTGTGGGTATAAAGAAATGAAATCACTATTCATGTTTCTATTAGGTTAATCTTTAAACAATTCATGTCAAACATCGATCTTTCCATATGCAGCTAAACATGTCTTCTAATTGCCACTGTAGTATTATAAACAGTTGGCATTAAGAAATTTGAAGGCGTGGGCATATATTGCCTACAGAGGATAAATTTAATTGTCTCATAGAGTGTAATCCGTTACTTTACAGCAAGAAAATAAACGATATTTTTCGACTGTAATAAAGAAATATTCGTTACAGCGACGTAGGTTAAAATATTAATGTAACCAACGACCAAGGACCATAACTCGTATTGTTATTAAGAGTTAACTGCCTTAATCATGAAAGCCGGTCAGGTTTTGAGCAATTTAAAAAAGAAATGCCCAGATAGTTATATCTTCAAAAATTCAAACGTGGTCAGACTTCCATAGTATTAAAATAAGCCCCAAATATTGTCTGTTTGTAAGTATAGCTTAATAACTTAGAATTCTGGCTACGAATTTCTACTTTCTTTCAGGTTATTATGGCACAAGCGACCCACCTTTATTTTGACCATCCATATGAACCTGATCCAGTAGAAAGGGGATATTATTGGGCACCAAGATTTGCCGATGCCAAGAAAACGTTTGGTTTTATGCCTGCAAATCTCTATGAGAACATAGACGTTACTCGATTTGGGAAACCACTCACAAAAGAAGACGTTTGTGGTGCGGAAAATGAACATTGTCCTGCATTAACTAAACCTGAAAATGTTGCTGGTAAGAACAAATCTCTTATAATTATTATTAAATGTTCTGGTCAAAGGGAGTGTATGGTCGAATGATTAGCACAAGTACGTTGTATCATAAGGTCTATCTTTGAGTCACCTGGTGTGGTTTCGATTCCCCGGTTGTATGTGACATGTAGTAGGGTCGCCTGTCTAACTTCGTGGGTTTTCTCCGGGTCCTCCGGTTTCGTCCCACTACTAAAGACCCCTACGCGCATGCGAACTATTGAAATAAAATTGAACCATGCGATAGTCCCGAAATGACCTGGTTTGTGTCGAGTGGGCGTTAACCCCCCTCTCTCTCTCTCTCTCTCTCTCTCTCTCTCTCAGCAGTCACAATGCACACAACAGTTTCATGCAAACAATTATTGTATTTTGATCGGAGACCCGCCTACGATTACAATCTGTTTCACAGAGAATTACGAGTCTCGTATAATATCTCTGTCATAGATGACTGCCTTAACACGTGCTGTCACAGCACGCGGTGTGAATCATTGGCTGAATGGCGCGTGCATTGTTTACATAAGACATAACTGCTTCGGAGAGAATGCTGCATTTTAGTCATTTTAATACCCATTTACACTAAATCGGAAATAATTTTTAACTACAAATACGTCAAACGCCTTTATTTATTTTTCCAATATATACAAAAAATGTTTTAGAATTTAATTTGTCGCAGGAAAAAAGTTAATATTTCTAGCTCATTAAGCCGCATCAATGTCATCCTTATCAGTGATTGTCGCGGCCAAGCAAATATTCACTGCGGAATCAGTGTGCTACGATTATTGTACAAATAAGTCGCGCTGGTCGAGAAAGTTCATCGGGATTTTCCGGCGTGGTTCCCCCTTGTCAGTGGTTAAGACGGAGGGTCTGGCAAGGGACGAGGTATAGTTGGAACAAAAAACCGAGGTTCCATGCACGTTAAAAAACCATCGACAGTTGGAATTCGGAATAAGAGTAGGCCAAAGCGCTTCTCTCCGGACACAACGTCTCTGATAGAACACTGCATGACGTGTGACCGTCTTCCTTAGATAAGTAGGATGTTAAACCCCACTTCATTTCATTTCATGTATTCATCTCATCATGTGTATTTTATTGTACATTTGACTCGATTATCCAGGTATGCAGGGTCATCTCTGGAGTGAAACCGTTAGAACAACAGATCAATTAAATTATATGATATTTCCAAGACTATTGGCGGTAGCCGAGAGAGCGTGGCACAAAGCCGACTGGGAAACAGAAGGTAACAAGATCACACGTGGAGCTTTGATTGATGCTGATTGGGCAGATTTTTCAAAGGCCGTTGGAGAACGAGAGTTACCTCGACTTGATTCAATGGATATCAAGTTTAGAGTATCTCCACCTGGCGCAAGGTAGCTTTAAAATTATTGATAATAGGCTAACCTTAGGGTGAACCTTCCTCGCACCTTTATCAAAAAAAATATAATCCCAACTATGACTAGTAATTGCTTCCCATGATTTTTATAATATACGAATTTAATTTTTGTTGGTTTCTTGGTGTTAAATCACAGACGAGCGGTTGAACTTACATCTACTGTCAAGATTTGGTAAATATTCATGATTTGAGGTGGGAGTAAATGAATCCGAATATTAAATACAAAATTGACGCCAGGGGATTCATTTGACTCAGCGTAGAAGAATATCGACATTGCCAATCTCTCATTCAATATTTTTATCACATGACCGTGTTTGGCTCTTTGTGGTTATAAATATTAAGCTCATCGGAATGTTTAAAAAACGTTATAGGAACATGAATGGAATAGATTTAGCAATGAAGTCAATGGGGAGAAGATTTACTAGTTTATTTAATTTGCACCAGACCGAGTTAACTGTCCCTGATATTGACATTATGCAGTCATAGAATGGTTAATAAGGCACAGAAGTGGACTACTCCCAGTTTGATCACATGGTACAATGTTGCATTGTCCCTTTCCAATACAATATAATGTACAGAGTTTTTTCTGATTTTACACTATATCGGAATCGTCGACAATAGTCCCTTTGTTCACTGCCATCCATTATTGTTTAAAAAATTTGCTCCAGTTCGAGAATATTAATAAATAATAATTAATTTATTCATGATACTTATAATCACTTATAGAACCAATACTCACCAGAAATTTATATAGTTAACGATTTCACGCTTTACTGGCGACGGTTCCACTTACTGACGCACATCAAAGATAACTGGCGGTTTCACTCGGGTAGTAAGCGGTAGCCTAAATACTGACGGTTTCTTAATTGGTCACGCTTTTTCCAATTTCTCCCGCACGCGTCTAACTAGTGATATGTTCTGATAAACTCGCGTTTGTTTAATTAGTCACGTTATTTTTTGTATACTGACACAGGTAAGGAATACTAATCAATTGACTTAAATACTCACCTTGTGATTATTACTGGCCATTTATAGGAATACTGACGTACGGTGCAAGTACTGACGGGTTTAAGCGACTACTGACAACACGTTTATTTCTCATGAGTTTCCATGAATAGTAAGCACAATTAAGCTTTTCTACTTGCTAGATGGATATTCTAACGCAGAAGCCCGTTATTAAAAGCTCTGACACCAGTTCTACACACTATGCATCTTGTAGTGGAATATGGCCAAAATGTGAATGTGGCCGTTATACGACCATCTTTTCAAAGGTTAGACCAAGTCTTAGCTTCGAACATTTGTTGTTTTATTATATTCCACTCTTGTTTAGAAAATGGTAAACTGGTCGTTAATACAGAATACTCTAGTCAAATTCTTGTATATGATATAGATAATGGTCTCACATGTTTATTTTTTACAGGGTAGAAAATGGTAAACTGATGGTTAATACGGAATATTCTGATCAAGTTGTTGTATACAGTAAAGATAATGGACTCACATGGATTATACCTACTGAAGAAACCATGATCAACCAACCCATTCTTCTCAAATCAAGGTAAGTATACTTATTACATAAATACAGCAACCTACCCTATTCACGAAAAACCTAATCTAAAATATTGTCAAGTTGAATCTCTAATAAGAAGGGTTGGGCGACCGCATGGTTAACGCCAGCGCGTTGGATTAGAAGATCTGCCATTGAATTAAGTGCTGTGGTTTCGATTCCCCGCTTGTACTTGACAAGGAGTAGAACCATATGTCAGTCCCGAAATAACCTAGTTTGTGTCGAGTGGACGTCCCCCGATTTCCAACTACTGCTAAAGACCTTACGTGCAAGAAAATTATTGAAATAGACTGAACCATATGTTAGTTCCGAAATGACCCTCTCTCTCTCTCTCTCTCTCCCGCTCTCTCTCTCTCTTTCTCATAATTTGAAAGACATAATTAAATGACCACGCATTAGCAACATAGAACGTCGCCCTTACGTTACATCATACATGCCGTGTTCTCTTTATTTGTGCTTTGAGTCGTTGGAAAATCTCCACAAGAAATGTTAAAATATCAGCGTGAATCCCATAGATTAAAACTATCTAAGAGTTGATCCTAACAGCAAACACGAGGTTAATAGAAGATGGAGGCAGCGCCGTAAACGGTTACCTTGTGACAGGCAAAGTTGACATATAAAACTCCGTTACTTTATGCTCTATAGCCAAAGTCCAGTATATAATAAGTGCTTTTTAAAAAAAATCTGACTATATTTTGGAACATGGATTATGTGACGTTGTTCTTAATGTCTGTTAGTGTGTTAGATTTAAATGAGTGTACACGAATATTGGATCCTTTACCAGGCTATACGGATAATTATACGACAAGGTAAATACAAATGCATAAAGAGAAACGCCCCGTTTCGCCCCACCCCATCCCACCCCACAACACCCACCCAAGACGTTCTAATGGTGAGTCTGCTGGTGTTCAAAATACATGACGAACGCTACTTTGTCGCTGACGTATATTGTGCTTTTGTGCGAAAAGACATCTTGTGCATGTGTTTTCGACCTCGGATTTTCGTTCCATCCGAACTAAGTACACGTAAAAGCATCCTTGAAAGTTGGAGAGAGAGATAATGGGGTTTAACGTCCACTCGACACAAACTAGGTCATTTCGGGACTAACACATGGTTCAATTTTATTTCTATAATTCGCTTGCGCGTAGGGGTCTTTAGCAGTGGGAGAAAACCGGAGGACCCGGAGAAAACCCACGAGGTTGGACAGGCGACCCCACTCCTTGTCACGTTCAACCGGGGATTCGAAACCACGCCAGTTGACTCAATGACAGACATTATGATATAGCACGCACGTGCTAACCATTCGACCCCCCTGTTTTTTCGACTTTTTTTTGGTTGTTGTTTTCTTGGGGGGGGGGGGGGGGTATTTCAATTTCATGCTTTGTCGTATGTCTGTTTGTTTTTGTATATCTGGTTTGTGTGCATGTCTGTTATTTCGCACGCGTGTATTATGGTGTGCCTGCTTTGTCTTATGTTTGATCTTTCGTATCTCTTTAATTTCTTTATGTCGGGGTTTATTTTTCATATTATTATGTCTTTTTTTGTTTTGCGCTATGCTTATGATGCTATCATTTGTTGTTACAGAACACCAGATGGTAAAAGAGAAAGTCGAATCACAACCCTTTATCCTGGTATGCTAGATCTTAAATCTCATATTATTTTATCAACTAAAAAAACATGGATACATCTATCACCATCAGTGACTTGACAATCAAAGAGTATTTATTCATTTTGGATTATCTCCACTTTGTGTCTTAGTTTCACGCACTACTTTCATTTTGATGAACAATAGTTCTGGGCTCGAACTCTTCGGTCGTTTTTGTTTTGTTTAATAATATTGCAAAGATATGGCAGGGGCGGATCCAGCAATTTTTGCAGGAGGGGGTTTGCCAGGTTCCTGAGACAATGAATCTCCCCCCGCCTCCTCCCGCATAGTCTCTATCGTCATTTTGGCGTATATACATACACATTGAGCTTTTTAAACAGAGCAATTCAACACCTTGTTTGACGTCAATTTTTATTATGAATTAATACAATGACATTGTGATTTAATTTCATGGATGCGAAGCATTAATTGTGATATCAAATAATGTCTATAATATCATTATCTCGTGCTTTGATTGCCCATCCTGTCCCACATCTGACGATAAAGGATAAAGCACACGGAAGAGAAACTATTCTCATAAAAAGTGTTGGTTTACAAAATATTTATGTAGCTGAGCATGTGGGGGGTGGGGGGCGCCACCTACCCCCCCCCCCCCTCTGGATCCGCGCCTGTATGGGTCAATTTCTGGAACATTTATTGGGTTTACACTATCTGACCTCAACATATACAGCATAGAGTACAATTTCTTTCAACCTTTAATTAGCCACACTGATTAGCAGTGAATTTTCGCTAGGCCGCTACAATCACTGATAAGGATGACATCGATGCGACTTAATGAGTCCCAAATATTAACTTTTTTCTTCCGTCAAATTAAATTATAAAACATTTTTTTCATTTATTAGAAAAATAAATAAAGACGTTTGAATTGTTTGTAGGTAAAAATAATTTCCTATTTAGTGTAAATGGGTATTAAAATAAGTAAAATTCACCATTTAGCCCGAATCAGTAACGTCTTATGTAAACAATGCACGCGCTATTGAGCCAATAATTGACGCCGCGTGTGTGACGTCACGTGTCGAAAGAGTCATCTGTAACAAAGACATTAAAAGATCTCTGTGAAACAGGGCCCTGATTCACGAAATCTTAACTAAAGATAAAATCCAAATTTTAGTAGATACTTCAGTTTTGATTGGCTAAGCACTAAAATCAATCTAATATTATCCAATCAAATAACTAAAATTTAGATTTTTATCTTAGTTAAAATTTCGTGAATAAGGCCCCAGATTGTTAATTAGCCTGAAAAATTACAACACCTATGACGTTTCACGTTTTCCTTTAAGACAATATTTACTTATGACGAAAGCACATTATAAGGTATGGAAACATGTTAATGACAAGACACATTGGTTAAATTTCAAAATGATTTTTCCACGAAATTTGCCCCTAATAAACCAAACGTGTGAATTTTATTTGAAATGTCTCATTATTATATTTTTTATTTATGCTTCAATAGTTATTATTATTATTATTATTATTTTATATGTCTTACACAAACAACCTCCACTTCACCTTTTGTTTTTTTGGGGTTATTCCTGTAGTCTTAAGTTGACTTTCATTTTCTTTTTTTTTCAATAATTTGTTAAAGTCGATGCTCGTTATTTAAATGATTTGAATCCCGTGCAAACTATGATATTATGAAAGGAATGTCAGTCCAATACCATATTTTAGTTAAAATAAGGCGAACAATTTTGAGTAAATTCTTGACCTAAGTGAACTCGGAAGCAGATTTGTTGCAAATATATATTCGATGATGACTTTCATTATTTCATTAGAATTACATATTTTGCTTTTTCCCTTTCCTAAAGACCGGGATTATACAGCCCAATGACCCTATGCTTAACGATACGCCCCCGAATCTATGCAATTGATTTAATAGTAATTTTATTATGTATTACCTATAATGTCCTTATGTTGTATGTGTCTTGTCCGCGGGTTTGTCTTCTGGGTTTTTGTTTCTTTACATATTATTTAAGACACTCCAGTTTGTTTAAATGTACTTTCGGTTGTCTTTATATCATTTGATTTATAATGTAATATAGTAAAGTTGTAAGCTATGATGCTAAAATCAAATACGGGGTTACACCCCATCATCCATCATATACATTATATATATCTATGCAGTATTGACGAATATATTTTTTTCGCCACGCTCAAATAACTAATTAATAATAATCGATAAATAATCGATAGTCGAAATGATTAATCGATAGTCGAGATATATGATCGATAAATAATCGATATTTTTGTTGTAGACTACTTTTATATTGTATCCTTATGGTTTCTTTTTTTTTCTTGTTTTAGTTGAACCGTTACCAATAGTTGACCAATCAGTCATAGATTATATAGCAGACTATCTTTCTATAGAATACGAAGTTCTTAATAATTTCGACAGCGGCTTAGATACCTATTTAGCAGAATATATCTTGAAAAATGTCGGCGATAAAGATATAGTACTTGGTAATTGGGAGATATATTTCTACAGTATTTACATGGTAGAACCACGTTATCTTAAAGGGGGTCTACCATACGAACTTCCTGGATATAACGTCATTTTACAACATGTCAATGGTGGGTTGTTTAAACTGACTCCATCGCGAAGCTTTGGTGTAATGAGGCCAGGAGAATCCCGGAATTTCCAAATCCGAGTGGAATATTGGTCCGTTGCTAAGAGTGATGTCATGCCGAATATTTATGTGACTGCTGAAGGAATGACGAGTAAAACTATCAAGAGTACGGCTGGTGAAAGTCTGTCGTTCGTGCATGACTACGTCAGGATGAACCAATGGAAAAGGTGAGAAAGCATAATGTCGTCGGACAAATATTATAATTTCCCTTAGGTTTTGGCCTTGGCTTATGTCAATCTTATTATCTCAGTAGATGCAGAAAAGCAGGGCGTTAAAATTCATTCATTCATTCATTGAAATGAAATGAAATGGGGTTTAACGTCCTACTGTTCTGCTCCAAACTGGGCTAATGAAGACGGGCATACGCCATACAGTGTGCTATGAGGGAAATTTTGCCCGGACAGCGGCACTACGGTCTACTCTTATATCGAATTCCAACTGTCAAGGGATCTTTTACGTGCATGCCAATGTGTACACGGGACCTTGGTTTTTCGTCCCATCCGAACAACTAGACAGCTGTCCTTGTCAGGCCCTCCGTCCTGCATCACTGACAAGGGGGGACCACGCCGGAAAATCTGGATTAACTTTCTCGGCCAATGCAGGGATCGAACACCCGACCTCCAGGCTAGCGAACCAGCGTCTTACCCACTTAGCCACGTGATCCCCCATTCATTCATTCATTTATTGTGACTATTTAGTGCTTACAGTGTCTGTGTGTAACGTGTCATGTGGGTGTTCCTCTTTGTCTGTTTGTGTATGTGTGATGTGGTTCTTCTTGTGCACACACTATTAGATCTGTTTGAATTTTAGCCCTGATCATGCTCTGTCGCTTATTCTTGCAGATATAACACTGAAAACTTTAAAGACAGGTTCGATCCTTTCACATTAAATCACCGATTCACTGTGAATGATGACATCAAAGATCTTGGTCTTGCACCAGTTCCTATTGTACCAACGCCATTATCTTACGTCATAGAGAACGAGAAAACTCTTTCACTGGGAGAAAAGGACTGGACTATCGTGGCTGTTTCTTTGTTGAACGAAGCAAATTTCTTACAAGGTTGGTGACAAGCATTTCATATTTACCCCGGGGTACCCGTTAGTTCACTGACATCAACTATTCAAAATTATTCTTTGTTGAACGAGGACAGTTTTATTATCTTACATGACTTCCGCTGTATACACTCACCCGATAGAACTAACTATGCAATTATGAGAATTTTTTCTTATAAAGGCACGTGGTACTATCAATTATAACGTCCTGGGTTCAAATCCCGTAGTGGCCAAGAAGAACCATGGGATTTTTCAAAATGGCCGAAGTAGACGAGACGTTACCTTCCATGCCTATCTTGTCTGGGGTTTTTTGTAATACATTTGGTGATTTGCCTTTCGGTTAATCTAGTTCTGTGCTTTTAAAGCGTTTGTTTTTTGGTTATATTTCAGCTGGTATAGCAGATCATGGGTTACCGGTACCAGCAATAGCCTCCAACAAACCGTCCACGAAATTCATTCATCTCGTCATTGGTAACCCGGAAGTTGGTGATAACAATGCTACTTCTACATCACCGGAAGCCTACTCACTCAATGTAGAACCTGGTAGTCAAACCATAGAAATAAAAGCTCTGAATGCTAAAGGAATATTTTATGGTGTCCAGAGCTTACTCAGCTTCGTCAAGAAATCCAAAAACGGTCAAATACCTAAAGCTATGATTAAAGACGCCCCTCGATTCCAATATCGTGGAATGCACCTAGACGTCGGAAGGAATTTTCATCCTAACACTTCCGTCCTGAGACTCTTGGATGCCATGGCAATGTATAAAATGAATAGATTCCATTTCCATCTTTCGGATGATGAAGGATGGCGATTAGAAATTCCTGGATTAGAAGAGTTAACACAGGTATGTCAAATCTTAGACCATTATTTGATTCACTATTTTTCTTAAATTTTTATAGCAATGGTAAAAAGCATTAAGGGCATTATAATTAGTGTCGACTGTGGTGCTACAAGCAGGATGCCACTTTACCGTAAATTGCCATGGAATATTGCATAATTTTACAATATTTTTGGAATTTAACCATTATTGCTTTTTTCTCTTTTTGTTTCTTGATAAATCTAGATTGGGTCAAACAGGTGTAGTGATATGACAGAAAAGTCCTGCATCATTCCGCAGTTAGGGTCCGGTCCAGACACAACTACTTCCGGTTCCGGTTTCTATACTATAGACGATTATAAAGAAATATTAGAATATGCAGCCAAACGTCATATTGAAGTCATTCCTGAATTTGACATGCCCGGTCACGCCCACGCTGCTATAAAATCTATGGAGGCCCGGTCACAGCGTTTAACTGACATTGGTGAAACTAATGAGAATGCAAATTATTTTTTGCTGCACGATCCTACAGATAAATCACACTATATGTCAGTACAGAACTTCAATGATAACGCCATCAACCCTTGTATAGAAACAACGTATAACTTTGTACGATATGTAGCTCAACAGGTAATCACGCATTTTAACATAAATTCACAGCACAAATGAATATTTTAACATAATTTTAAAGTACAAATCAAAATTTTAACATAAATTCATAGTACAAATCAAGATTTTAACATAGATTCACAGTACAATGAAATTAAAGAGCAAGTCAAGATGATTTTAACATACATTTAACGTAGATTTACTGCACAAATCAGGATTTAAACTGTTTAGAGGACACGTTAAGATTTTAACACACATCTGGTCTATAACATAACTTTACAGCACAAATCAGGACTATAATATAAATTGAAAGTTAATATAATGATTCTTCTTTGTATGGACTATTAAATATTATATTTTAAATTTTATCAATTCTATTGTTAATGAAACTGTTTGAGCTAGATCTCATAGCCCATTGGGTAGAAGTGTAGAATACTCAGGTAATGTTACCTAGACAGCAGTAAAGGATGGGCCATTTATTTACTTACACTTCAAAGGGCATTATTGGAGATTAGCTACAATAGTTAAAAAATAGATAACGTAATATGCCGAAAATTTCTGTCAAATTGCTCGACTCTGACCCAAGATATAGCGATTGAAATTTAGGTCTAGTCTCGATTATCAAGTCGGTACGATAAAAAAATTAAAGTATCGATTGTCCAGTTTGACGTTAAATCATCCACTACAAAATGTAGTAAAATCCAGTGGCTGCATCGAGAGTTGATTATGGTCTGGATAAGTTAACTAATGTCTAATTAATAATTTAGATAATATCTCAAGCCGAAAGAAAGACCTGCAATAGGCAGATTTAGCTCTTGCATAATGTATGTTTGTTTAAAGTTTCATTCTATATATTTCAGGTTAAAGCCATGCATGACAATATCAACCCACTGAAAGTCTTCCATTTTGGAGGAGATGAAGTAGCTTCTGGGGCTTGGTTAAATTCAACCGCTTGCAACAATCTGGACCAATCAGTCACGAGTCTTAAGGAAACATTTACTAAAAGGGTTTCCGGTTTGACGCACAGTCTGAATTTGAATCTTGGTGGCTGGGAGGATGGTTTGATAGAAAAGAATAATATCCCCTTTAACAGAAGTGTTCTTAGTAATAAAGAAGTGTACGGGTATGCCTGGTCTAATGTGTGGGAATGGGGAGCGGCTTCGAGGGCCTATGTGATGGCTAATCTGGGTTACAAGGTAAGGATATATATTCGTCGCAGTCGCAGCGAGGATAATTTGGACTGGAGCGAACGAGACTGTACATGCATATTGGTCTAAATATTCTTAAAAGTGCACACTGCCATCTTTATCGTTATGGTTTTATAAACTATGAAAGGATAATTCATTGTAATCTACAAGCACTGAGCACACCTTGCTATCTAACCTATTCTTTTATATTATCTAAATCTTATCTAAATATTACATAATGGCCTTTTAATATCTACTCGATTTTACCATTATTTTTGTGGGCGTTTTTGTCTATGATTTCCGCATAGGAATTATTACGTACAGACTTAAGGAATATAAGAAGTTATAATACACAGCAGACCACTACTCGTACACCAGACTGTAAGATTCGTTCACCTTATCATTACAACGCAGGCCTACTGGCAGAGGGGAGATGGATGACTGAATGGTTAGCACGTGCGCGCTGTATCATAAAGTCTGTCATTGAGTCAACCGGCGTGGTTTCGAATCCGCGGTTGTACGTGACAAGGAGTAGGGTCGCCTGTCCAACCTCGTGGGTTTTCTCCTGGCCCTCTGGTTTCCCCCCACTGCTAAAGACCCCTACGCGCAAGCGAATTATGGAAATGAAATTGAACCATGTGTTAGTCTCGAAACGACCTAATTTGTGTCCAGTGGGCGTTAAACCACATCTCTCTCTCTCTCTCTCTCTCTCTCTCTCTCTCTCCCTACTGGTCGATTGCGTGTCCAAGTGTACATAGTTTTCATATAATGAAAATAAAACCTTGGTTTTAATTACTTTTTGCAGTTCCTTGCTTGCAAACCTCTGATCAACAGCTCCTTCAAAGTTTTAGCGTACGGTGACACTCGCGCAACCATCTAAACACACAGCTGCTGGTGGGCGTATTCTTTTATCTGATATAACTTTATTAATCAGAACGTGCACATAGCTAATGATTTCTGTCGTGTTTTTGTTTTTAAAGGTTGTAATTGCTTCTGCCACGAATTATTATTTTGATCATCCATATGAATCCGACCCAGAGGAACGTGGGTTTTACTGGGCAACTCGTTACACAACCACCAAAGATGTATTTTCATTCATGCCTGAAAGACTTTATGATAACGCGGAGATGAGGACCTCGGGAGATCCCATCTCCAAAGAAGACTTCTGTGGAGAAGATTTTGTTAATTGTCCTAGCTTAGAAAAATCAGAAAATCTAGTTGGTAAGATTTACGTTTGATTCAATCTGATTAAAATACAGATCTATATTTCGTTTCGTTTTTTTATACTTTCGATGGCCTACACTACATGAAGATCTGACAAGTTATAGTGATAGGTCACGTCAGGGGTCAACAGACCGACTTTTGACTTATGACATCAGACATTTGATTAACCAATCAGCATTGATGTTACTAGTGGATTACCCACAGTTCCGGGCAAAAAAGGTCAAACACTCGATTCGACAGACCATTCGATTGGCTGACCCCTCATTTCAAGCAGAACACGAGTTAAATAACAAGTCTTCCAGATCCAAGTGTAATAAAGACAAGTAAAACGAAATTTTAAACTATAAAAACGAAACGAAATAGGATCTGTGTTTTAACCAGATTGCGTTTGATTAGAAGAGCTGGCGAATTATAAAATTCAGAAATTTATTTATACAATATTACTTAGAATTTTCTTATTCGTAGTGATTGACTTAGAGCATTTAGCTTTAGACTACCTGTTTTGGAGTTTTTTGGGGGTTTTTTTTTGTTTTTTTTTGTTTTCTTTTACATTTCACCTATGTGGTTACTTGTTTAGTTAAATTTTACTACAATATGCTTACATTCATATTTCTTGTGACATATAGCAGATCATGACTCATGCTGGCATTACACAATGGTTTCTCTGGGTTTTATTCCTGATTGTTTTCAAATTTGAGTTAAGTCTGTGTCACTACAGGCCCGGGACTGTACAATGCAGCGAAACGCTTACGGCTGGCCCCCGGATCCATTCACTTTATTTGAATTGTGCGTTTGTTAGTGCTTTCTGCGCAATATGTCTTGTCCGTATATTTGTTTTTGTGTAAATTATGTGTGGTGCAGTCCGCCTGCACTTACTATTAGCATTGTGAAATTCCGTTATTGTGCATTATTTTAATTTTACAGTATTTGATGACTTAAATCAGTTAAAGATGCTGATTTCCATTTATATTTTTTGGACACAGTCTGCTACATAATGTCATTTTTTATGATGTGTAGAATATGCATATATATATATAACATACCCTTCCTTGTTGTTCACGGGGGCGGGGTGGGGGTGGGGGGGTTGCGGAATGGTTAGAGCGAGCACGTTGAATCATGTCTGTCATTGAGTCAACTGGCATGGTTTCAATTCCCCGGTTGTACGTGACAAGAAGTAGGGTCGCCTGTCCAACCTTGTGGGTTTTCTCCGGGTCCTCCGGTTTCCCCCCACTGCTAAAGACCCCTACGCTAAAGCGATTTATTGTAATAATATTGAACCATATGCGAGTCTTCTTGATCACTGCAATACTTTGGACACTATTAACAACAAATAGCACCCGTGGCGGTGATAAGTAATACCGGGGTTTTCAACCGCTGTATTTAAAACATGTAGAAGTTAATGAGATTCAATCAGTTGGATGGTGACCTTAAAGATGCATTATGTAAAATTTCAGTCAAATTTCTTCATTCTGAGCGACTTTAGGGAGAATAGTGGAGTCTCGATTGGCATTGCTTCCGTTGTTACGATAGTAAACAAAGTCTCGATTATCCATTTTTTAATTAAATCATTAACGGTCAATCGTGTTTAAATCCGTTGAAAATCTAGAGCATGCGATGGCATTGCGGGTATATAACATTTAGCTCTTGAATAATGCGTCTTTAATGTAGCATGATTTTAATTCAATGTAAAGACATGACGTAGATTGTTTAAACATGGCTACTTTAATGAATAACACAGGTATTCAAGGCAACCTGTGGAGTGAAACCATCAGAACTCCAGAACAGATGGACTACATGATATTTCCCAGGATGCTTGCTCTAGCAGAAAGAAGTTGGTTTAAGGGAGATTGGGAGAATATGGATGATAAAGAGGCTAGGAATAAAGCGAGAGATGCGGAATGGACGAGGTTCTCTAATACACTTGGATATGGTGAAATGAAAATATTAGATGGAATGGGAATAAAATACAGAGTTCCTCCCCCTGGAGCAAAGTAAGTAATATATGATTTTATATTTTATCTTACTCCTCCCCCGCTTTTTAAAGGTGGAGCTGTTAACATGGTATTACTAGATGGTCGAGATTACACAACATTTCCAATTAATAACCCCCTTGGGGCCTCTTTCACGAAATTTTAACTAGTAATTTGATTGGATAATTTTAGTAATTTGATTGGATAATTTTAGTAATTTGATTGGATAATTTTAGTAATTTGATTGGATAATTTGATTGGATAATTTGATTGGGTAATTTGATTGGATAATTTGATTGGATAGTTTTAGTAATTTGATTGGATAGTTTTAGTAATTTGATTTAGCTAAGATAAAATCCAAATTTTAGTAATTTGATTGGATAATATTAGATTGATTTTAGAGCTTAGCCAATCAAAATTGAAGTATCTACTAAAATTTGGATTTATCTTTAGTTAAGATTTCGAGAAACAGGGCCCTGTACTTTAAATCTGAAACGAATCAAATATGGAATTTAGTCACAACCTCAACACGCAGACGAGAGTTCAAGTTTCTGTTCGTTGGTTACAATTTTTTGGACGATATCAAATTTTCCACGGCTTAATTCATGCTGAAATGTACTCGAATTAATTATTTGACGTTTCATTAGTAAAACAAAATCAAAATATCTACGGTAGTTGATCTACAGGTATGGATTCTATCGAATTGATAAGAGCTCATCAAAAGAGTGTTACGGGTGGCGCTGGCTTTTTGTCATATCCCGTTTATCTCGTCTGTAGAGGATGCCAAATGTCGACAAATTTTCAATTCATCATATCTGTGTAGCTTTTGAACGGAATTGAACCTTTTTAGAACTGATATTCCTCGTTCGTTCGTTCCTGGAGTTTTACGTCCACTTAGACACGTGATATCATATAGACAGTGATATTCCTTTTAGAGTTCAGGTTTTATAGTTTGCAGCGTGATGGGGAGGTTGTGTGTGACTTGTAGGGGTCAAACCACCTACTAATAATTTGTATATTTTGAATCATTTCAGAATACGAGACAATAAACTATACGTAAACTCGGAAATACCCGGATTAACAGTATCGTTTAGTAAAGATGACGGAAAGACGTGGAATCCTGTGAGTTCAGATGGAATAAGCGTGAATGGAGGTGATAACATTCAGTTAGTGACGTGGTAAGTCTGACCTGTGGACACATATTCTTTTGTAGTCATGCGTCCTCGGCAGTTTCTGTAATCCGATGAGCAGGATTAGATCGAAAACTGTTTACGCTCGGCTCAGATTTGGCGAACCACGCCATGTGACCAGTCCGCGTTGATCAACAACTTTGATCGAATACAAATGTAGGGTGAGGCGATCGGAAACAAATATTCTGCGAACGTTACTGTTTTGTTGATAGGACTTTAACCCCCGTCCCAGCCGACTGTCGGTTGAAGTTTGGGTGCGTTTTCATAAGTTTATGAGAAATATATTATCTTTGGGTTTTGGGTTGTTTTTTTAGAATATTAATTGTTTATTCTATCATCTTGTAAGTGTTACATCTGCTATATCTATCTATGAAATTACCGCGTGGAATGTAGGACCGAGTGGCAGTTAAACCCGCTTCCATAAAGTCGAATTTCTTCTTACATCTCATGGAACTCTTGTGGTCGAGAGTTCCACACAAAAGTCCCCAAACCGTGCCATAAACAGGACGAGGAAGAAAAATCAATATCAATCTGTTTGCATGACCTTATTTCTCCCGGTTCCCACCAAACCCTTCTGACTAAGCTGAGGATTTTTTTTTAAAGTATAACTGGGATGACTTTGGCTATATTTTTTAATTATGTGTAGATGTCCAATTTCTTATTTCATTTTCACTGCCCATCTCCGTTAACCTAGTCGGAGCAGACCAGTATGACGTTAAACCCCTTTTCATTTCATTTGTCACCAATTTCAGGTCTGCTGATAAACAAAGGAAATCCCGTGAAACGTCATTGAAGGTACCTCAAGTATCATCAGCACCAAGATTCTATTCAAATATACCCCTCAGTGCAATTATTATTCTCATGTTGTGTATCGTGTTTCATTGAATAGTCATTTAGGCCACGTCCATATAATTTCCTGTTCTTTGGAAACATCTGTAAAACAAATCCCTTCTTATTTGAAATCCAAAAGAAGTGGGCTGTGCTATTCAAAAGCTGTTCGTTCCAAATGTGTAAGTTTTGAAATTTCAAACAAAACATCTTGCTGTTCAAAAGCTATTCGTTCCAAATGTTTATATTTTGAAATTTTAAACAAAACATCTTGCTATTCAAGAGCTATTCGTTCCAAATGTTTATGCTTTGCAATTTTAAACAAAACATCTTGCTGTTCAAAAGCTATTCGTTCCAAAGTTTTGAAATTTTAAGCCAAACATCTTGTTGTTCAAAAGCTATTCGTTCCAAATGTTTATATTTTGAAATTTTAAACAAAACATCTTGCTATTCAAGAGCTATTCGTTCCAAATGTTTATGCTTTGCAATTTTAAACAAAACATCTTGCTGTTCAAAAGCTATTCGTTCCAAAGTTTTGAAATTTTAAGCCAAACATCTTGTTGTTCAAAAGCTATTTGTTCCAAATGTTTATGTTTTGAAATTTTAAATAAAACATTTTTCTCGTGATTAAAGTGGATGTTTATTTATCAAAACATCGAAGAACAGAAAATTAAATTTATGTGGCCTAAGTAAATATTTTTTTTTTACAATTCCTTTAAATACATATGTAAATTTATTGTACATAAATTGAAATTTGCAAATATCTGAATTACGTGTATGGCAGCATTATTTAGAAGAAATGGAAAACTGTCAAAGCGGCACTGATTGTGAAATAATTTGAATCTGCTTCAAGATATTTTTTTTATTCAAAATAATAACACGTATGCTTATGTATAGTTAAACGTATGTAAATAATATAGAAGTATAATTTTTCAAAGTTATATTTCTTCAACAAACCTGATCCAAAATAATTATTTATTGAAAATATCTTCAAACAATTCAGGGGGGGGGGGGTGGCCGAATGGTTAGCACGTGCGTGCTGTATCATGCGGCCTGTCATTGAGTCAACTGGCGTGGTTTCGAATCCCCGGTTGTACATGACAAGGAGTAGGGTCGCTTGTCCAACCTCGTGGTTTTTCTCCGGGTCCTCCGGTTTCCTCCCACTGCTAAAGACCCCTACGCGCAAGCGAATTATGGAAATAAAATTAAACCATATTATGTTAGTCCCGAAATGACCTAGTTTGTGTCGAGTGGACGTTAAACCCCATTTTTCTCTCTCTCTCTCTCTCTCTCTCTCTCTCTCTCGCTCTCTAATAAATAATATAAATGTATTATTATGAATGACACTCTTTAAGTGCATGACACCGTTACTATGCAACGGACGAAACAATCGTTTCACTTCGCGCAGCACCTTCTATCTGGAATTATCTACCCTTAGACATCAAAGAATCAAAAGCTGTAGACATCTTCCAGTTACGTTTGAAGACACACCTATTTGACGGAATTAAACAGTAAAAGAATCCACATTAACGTCAAAGCACATCAGGCGCTTTATCAAAGTATTGTTTGAGCTAAACACAAATTCTTTGTTGTTTGATTGACGTATTGAACGTGGGACAATAGCACGCGCCTCCTCTTCTTCTAGTAGGGGTTTTGCGTCCGCTTCCACCTAGGGCGATATCGCACGCGCTGATACTTAAATGGCTTAATAGTGGTTGACAATTTGTAATTATAAAAGTTAATAATTTATTTTGGTCTTTTTTTTATAATTTGTATCCATAAATTTAATTTTACTGGTCATTAGAAATATATTACTTGTAGATAAAAATACGTTTGGTGGATCAAATAGAAGGGACATATATTATCTTTAAAGAGTCAACAAGACAGATAAGAGACATAATTAAATATTTTGAGTTTGCATCCGCTTACATCGATGCCAAGAGATTATGTAACCGATATTTTGGGTTATAATTCGTGTTAACTGCATTATTAAAGATACATTATGTGAGATTAGATAAAGAGCTGGCAGTTATCACTATAATAGTTAAAAACTAGATAATGTAAAGGGAATTTACTGAAAATTTCAGTCACATTGATCCATTGTGATTGAATTTTTGGCCTAGCCTCGATCATATTAATAAAGTCGGTACGATAAAAAATATGTTCTCGATTATCCATTTCATGATTTAATCATGAATGAAAGTTGAGCAGCAAATCGTATCCTAATCCAGTAAATATCGCAGGCTAGCGATGCCATCGAGAGTTGATTATGGTCTGGATAAGTTAATTAATAATTTAGATAACATTTCAGGCATAAAGAAAGACCTGCAATTGGCAGATTTAGCTCTTGCATAATGTATGTTTAAATAGTAATGTTAGCGTGTATGTCTATGAATATTTCTGTCTTGTAATTATTAATTTAAAGTGACTGTAAATAGAATAGGTCTTATATTATAATAATATTATATTTTGTATAGTTTATTTTTGAAGACTTTACATTATGTTGATCTGGTGAATAAAATGTTGATTTGATAATAAAACATTTAATGTAGATAATGGTAGTCGATTTTATTTCTATGGGTGTACGCCACAAGACAGTGTATGCTTACTCATTCTAGAATATTTGACGGAACGTTTCTGATGATTCAACTGATAGCATTGCCCCGTGATGCCCTTAAGTTTGATTCTGGTGTTGGCCGAGAAATTGCTTGGGATTTCTCTGCGTGGCTTCCCCTTGTCAGTGATACAGGACGGAGGATGGGGTGGGCCGAAATCGAGGTCACGTCGAGGTCACGTGTACACGGTTTGCATGTAGCAGTACCTTGCTTGGGATTTCTCTGTGTGACTTCCCCTTGTCAGTGATACAGGACGGAGGATGGGGTGGGCCGAAAACCGAGGTCACGTCGAGGTGTACACGGCATGCACGTAGCAGTACCCTTGACAGTTTGGAATTCGTTGGAACTGGTCTGATGACTCAACTGATGAGCATTGTCCCGTGAATGGTCGAGAAAATTCCTCGTTATTGATGTTGTGGGAAGATAGCCGAAGTCACATGTGCACGGCATGAACGTAAAAGTGCCTTCAATAAGAAATCGACGGCACTGTCCGGACAAACAATTCCTTCACAGCATGCTGCATGGCGTTATATCCGTCGTTATTAACAGAAAAGTAAGACGTTAAAGGGTGCATGGGACAGAGTATGCCACTCTTTGTAGAACCCACGATAGCACTCCTTATTATCCGAGAAGAGAGAGAGAGAGAGAGAGAGAGAGAAGAGGTCATTTCGGGACTAACATATGGTTTAATTTAATTTTAATAATTCGCTTACGCGTAGGGGTCTTTAGCAGTGGGAGGAAACTGAAGAACCCAGAGAAAACCCGCGAGGTTGGACAGGCGACCCTACTCCTTGCCACGTACAACCGGGGAATCATTATCTGAGAAGTTCTCATAGGCATAGCTAATAATTAAAAAATAAGGGGTTAAATGTCTTATCGTTTAGTGGGACATTCACCAGAAGATATGCTAAATCGGATAGCCTACACTGTAAAAAATATCCATTTTTTATGTGGCCGAATTCCGTAATTTAACACCTTTTTTCTGTTAATCGATGGATTTTTTGGAGAAATTGTGTTAATAGTGTGAACTATTTCTTCAAATTACGTGTTTTATGTATTTCTGTAGAATATTCAGTATTAAACAGGAAATTTCCGTGAAATTTAGCGATAAAATGTTTTATTCCCTTCTATATTGGACTTAATTCTGTTATTTTACGGAATAAACGGTGGAATGACAAGGAAGTTCCTTGAAATTTAGGGATAAAATGTTTTAGTCCGTTCTGTAATGGACTTAAGTCTGTTATTTTACGGGATAAACGGTGCAACGATAAGTAAATGAAATGAAATGAAATGGGGTTTAACGTCCTACTGTTTTGCTCCTAACTGGGCTAATGAAGACGGGCATACGCCATACAGTGTGCTATGAGGGAAATTTTGCCCGGACAGCGGCACTACGGCCTACTCTTATATCGAATTCCAACTGTCAAGGGATCTTTTACGTGCACGCCAATGTGTACACGGGACCTCGGTTTTTCGTCTCATCCGAATGACTAGACAGCTGTCCTTGTCAGGCCCTCCGTCCTGCATCACTGACAAGGGGGAATCACGCCGGAAAATCGGGATGAACTTTCTCGGCCAATGCAGGGATCGAACACCCGACCTCCAGACTAGCGAGCCAGCGCCTTACCCACTTAGCCACCGTGATCCCCTGCAACGATAAGTAATCGTATACATATATAATCATTCCTAATAATCATCATGTTATATGTTCATTTCAATTTATTTACCATAATATGAAGAATCATATTTTGTAAAGTTTGGTATATTAATTGTCATGTATATCTAATTTCCATTATTTATAAGATCTATAAAGTGTATTGTGATTCATCATACGGAAATCAGATTGTAAGTTTTTTCATAAATATATAAAAATATGTTTTATTGCTGCGTGTGTTGAGATTGTAATATCTGGTAATCAAGCACGCTTAAATCCGGATAGTACAACCGGTTGGCCAGTGTAATTCGGTTTGTCTCTATGGCAGAGTCTACCTGCGAATTGATAATACCGCAAACTTACATCTGAAAGCCTCCAATCACTGACGAGTAGCGGTTTGTGATACCTTGCTCTCGATTCTTATATTAGCAAAAAAAGGTTACGTTTAAAGATTATCTGCGTTATCACTTCGGTAAAAGCGGACGTTAAATAAAGCTATTTCACGCACGCATATAAAGTCAATGGTTAATTCAATGAAATTTTTATCACCTTCATCATCGTCAGGAAACAAAATTTACCAGGGTTTTTTTTTCTGTATTTGAAAATGGAATTTCTGTTAATTGAGGGAATTTCTGTAAATTACAGGAAAAACAAATACGGATAAAATTTTCCTGGTAATTTTTGTTTCCGGAATTTTTTACGTTTTTTCACGGAAATTTTTGTTACAGTGTAGGCCGGGGAGTTTTGAAATCATCTTAAATTGATTTGTTTTAAAATTAAACTATCGATCATATTCGATTTATGTTTTGTGGGTCGACAATTTGCGCTCGTAGTAAGCTTTACGCAACAGTTAGAAGCTGAATCATGTTTCGTTACATACAAATAAGAATGCAAATTTCGTTAATTCGTGGGCTGAGGATTAACTGGTTCTATGTCCACTTTTTGTCAAACTGAGAAAAATGGGTGTGAAGTTTTGCATCGCTGTATTTTGAAACTCATTGAATTTTTACCAAATTTTCACTGTTGTGGAAGCTGACAATATAAGCAGCTGTCAGTGTGTGTGGTGCTTTTTAATGCAGTGGTATCCGATCTGGTCAAACCGAAATACGATAAATGGAGATGGGACTTTGTGACTTACAAAATTTTATGAATTTGTCAGGCACAAAGTTCTATCTAGGAGATAGAACCTTGTGTCTCAAGACGGTCCGAATCACATAGTTCTATATCCAGCCTCATTGTTTAAAAAAAAACTACCCAAAAACTGTGGCAACTCTAGCCCAGGGATTACATTGTCACAGGTTCAGAATCCTTCTATTTGTGTAAAACATATTTAGCCTATGCCAAAGTAACCCCTTAGGGTTTACAGGAGAACAAAATGGGTTTAATTCATGAAAATTACTATTGAAATCCATGCTACATTTTCGCCTGACGAAGATTAACCATGAGTGTCAATTTATTGAATAGCTACAAAAATATGATTTCGGAAAAAGTAACACATAACACTCTCAAGCATTAAACATAACAAAAAGCCTTTTTCGGCCCAAAATTTAACGAAGAGAAAGCATTGTCCACTGATTGGACAGGTAACCTCACTCTTAGGTTACCGCCAAGGACATGTACATTTGATAAAGATCATAAATATATTACACTGTAAGCCTATGATGGTGGGGAGCCACGGTGGCCAAGTGGGTAAGGCGCTGGCTCGCTAGCCTGGAGGAAGCGACTGTGTAGTCGTTCGGATGGGACGAAAAACAGAGGTCCCGTGTCTGGCATATACGTAAAAGATCCCTTGGGCCTTGATGTCAACTAGTTCCATCTCCATCATTATGCCTGAACTACTGTGTACGATCATTCAAAATAAAAATAGGGTTTCAACAAAACATTAGGCCTAAGCTGTCTTAAATTGCCTAACAATCAATACCTTTCTAACAGATTAAGAATTTCATTCTGGGACAATATTCTGAGGGCCTTACGGCGAGTTTTCTGCTCTAGAAATACAGCCATGCTGGTGTCTCTTTCGGCCATTTTGTCAAAAGACCACATGACACCAAACCCAGGAATTATATTGGTGAAAGTGAACATAGAACTTTGTGAGGGGGAATGGATTGAAATTTAAACAAAGGCCTATGTGTTTTTTGGCAATTTAACCCAGAGGGCGCTTCTGAATTAAATCATGCTCATAGTACATAGCACCTGTTGATTCAAAGATAGTTTTTATGCAAATATCTCATTTTTAGTGAAAAGTGGACATAGAACCAGTTAATCCTCAGCCCACGAATTGTTATTTGCGATTCAAATATTGTTAGCTTACTAAGGTAAGCTGTGGATATATTCACTTTTAAACAAAAAAACTACTGCTGTCTTTTATAATGATAATAAACAGAGCGCTTTATCAGTATAAATATATACCTATCTTGGAACAGAAAGTCCTAGAACGTTAAATCAACTGGGTTCATCCTCTACGATCCCAATGCTCCACGTCAACCTATGCCAAATCTGTATGCTTACTATAGAGGCCAAAGAACGTGTTGAACCAACTACGTCACTTCTGGTTTTAATCAAAATAATTTCTCGCTTACAAAAACATTTTTGCTTGTTTTACAGAGGGATTTATATATGAATATATATGAATATATATTTGAGATTTATGGAAACCTTGATGAAAGTCGTTGGTCTTCCACTTTAATCCGATCAGAAAATAATTTTTATTTATTTATTATTTTTTTTCATTTTTACATAGAACTGGAGATAACATACCAATTTTACCTGAATTGACATTATCGGGATCTTAATTAAAAGCAAATCTAATATCCTTACTTTTGTCAAGGTATTTTTATGCATTTCAATTTGATGTCTGAAAATGAAATGCAAGTAGATTTTGCGAAATGCGAAATTGAGAGTTAAAGGACTAAATTAACATTATGATATTTTAGCTGTGAACATATTTCAAATTGTAGGCGACAACCAAATCAGTTCTACCAAATTCGCAAACACTGTTTAAAATTGCTTTATTCAAGATCTAAATCTGCCTATTTCAGGCCTTTCTTTAGGCATTAACTGTTCTATGAATAATTAATTAGACTTTTATTAACACAAGACCATTACCAACTCGCTAGGCCATCGAGTGGCCCCAATTTTAAGTAGAGCGGTTCTGCCATTCAATGATTTAATTTAAAAATGGAGAAGCGAGGCTGAATCTCGAATAACCAGTACCGTGATTTCGATAATAAACAATCAATGCACACATCTTGTCAAAACTACAAGCAGTGATAATGTCGATCAAAATA